CACGTCCATCTGGTAGGTAGGGACGGGAAGGGCTGAGAAGAGAAGTACATGGACATCTCATACCATGTGTGCTGGCATGGGGATGGTCTCACATCGGCCTATTTATGTGCATCCCTCTGTAACTGTCTGCCTGCAGATACTCGACCCTGTGCGTGTCGAATTGCATCGTCAGCTACACCCCACCCACCCAGTGCATGTCCTCCTTGAGCACCATATGTCTCAGCTCTTCTTCAACGATTTCCAAGCAATCTCCCTCGCCCTCTTCGCGCCCGGCGGTGGCATCGACATGGTGTTTGGACCGGGCTCTGTCGGCTCGCACAAGTACGCCAGATAGGCAGACGGATGGCATGGCATGTATGTATCGCGGGATAGATTTGGACATGCCGTCTACGTGCAAGTGGCTGTGCTCACAACAGGGAGTTTCGTCTGAGGCATGGCACTTCGTCCTGATGCTGTATGTGTAACTCTTCTTTGTATCTACGGGCAGGTGGGTTGTTGATGCGTGGACGAGATTGGAGGAGGAGGGGAGCTTTTGGGAGGCCGACCTCTACGTGCGCATGGCGCAGCGCGGCACCGCCAAGATTCCTGGCTTCAAGCGACAGGACGACCTCATCAGCTTCTACGACGCCATCAGAACCTTCGTGAAGGTAGCTGACGAGCCAGTGCGTGACCAGCCGGTGACATGATACATCCTCGCACCCCCCCTTCCCCCCCCGCCTTCCCCTTCCCTAGAACTACTTGTCAGCTTACTACTTCAGCGATGGTGACGTGGTGGCCGACTGGGAATTGCAGTCGTGGGGTGTGGCGACTTGCGGCGTCATCCCCGGCTTCCCCGGCACGTTCCGGTCGTTGGATGAGGTGGTGAGAGTGGTGACCAGCTGCATCTACCGCACGGCGGCGCTCCATCACACCATGAATGCGGACGACACGTATGAACCAACGCATTAACGTCACGCACGCACGGAGGGGGGAGTATACGAACAAAGAGGATGGGGAGAGAGTTGTGACAGGGACGTATGAGCATGTCTCAAATCCTGCTTCCCTGTCGGTTGCTGCCTCCTTCAGTTGGCATATGTATGCCCTTCCGCACAAGCCGATGACCCTTCACCATCCCATGCCCTCCCAGCCTGGCGAATCCGTCGACCTCCAGCCCTACTACATCAGCCAAACAGTCGATGACGACCTCACCAAGGAAGATATCCTCGCGGAACGTGCGTATGCACACAGTATGTGGAATTTGGGGGGTCGGGGCAGCTTTAAGCAGGGTGCCTGCCTGTGTTCTTCCTTCCTGCTTGTACAGACTTACTTGTTGGCTCAGCGTATGTGCGCCCCCTCCATCGTCCCTGTTCTCTGATGTACTCGTACGAGTCCATCGACCTCGGTGAGTATGCTGCACCTTCCGTGCGCGAATTCGCTAGAGCCATGGAGGCCATCCAGGCCAAGATCCACGCGCGCGAGGGCTCTCTGCCTGGCGACAAATATGGCCAGGACGGCAAGTTTAACCTCCTCGACCCCGCCAACCTGCCATTTTACTGCTTCATTTAGAAGTACCGATAGACACAGATGATGCTGTGTATGGCAGGAGATCTCGAGAGCAAAGGAGTCAATCGGTAGGTGTATGGGATCGTGTGTTGGCTGGCAACTCAACGTTTTCTGGATCAGGCTAGCAGTTTTCGAGTTATTTGGCTTAGCAAGGATGCAGTGTAGTGCGTGTTGGTCGTATGCAACAGTGGCTGGTGCTCCTGTTTCGGGTGCTAGCAGTGAGACGTACAGTGTATGATAGGTGATGAGCGGGTGGTGGCAATATGTATGAGTGGTAAAAGACGAAGGGGGTAGATGCGGAATACGGGGGCTACGTGTATGTATCATAGGAAGGGATACGTCTCCTATTTTTCCTGCCAGACGATGGGCATTGAGGCAGGGGATAGGTGAAAGGGGGGTGCAAGAGGGCGGATTCGTATGCGTGCACTACGATGTGGCTTGCTGAGGCGGGTGGATGAGAAGAACGGTCTATCTGCACCGTTCTTTTGCCCCCTCAGTTTATTTTTCTCATCAGATGGAGACCACAGTTACGGAAATGATGAGTGATACAGGCATTGACGCATAGCGCGACGGCAGCGACACGTCTGTGAGTCAGACATACAAGAGCGCATGAATCGGTCAGTCATCTATCAATCAGCGACAAACATGCCAGTCCCATCTACCACCCCGCCCCCTTCACAACCCAATGGCGCCGGCCACCATGCACACACCAACTTACGCCACGCGCTAATGCATGGACAAACGTGCACGGAGCCAACCCGTCACCTACCCCGGCGACTTCTCACGCCAGGCAGGTTTCATGCGCAACGCCTCAACCAGACTATGGAAAGAGTGCTCTGCCTTTCTCTGCCACACCCCGTCCACCGTGACAATCAGAGGGGTAAAGTAGATGGACCCATCCACGCAGTCACGCACGTGCTGACTCTTCTTGTTTCTCGTCTGCCGGCGAAGGATTCTACACACCGTCCTCCACTTGCTCTCCCCAGGCTCCCATCCGTCGACGAGAGGCAGTCGCTAACATCCGACGATGAAGTCTACGTCTTAAAACATGATACACTGTATGTATACAGGAATTCGTGCATAAATATGTCTAAGTCACCTTCCCTCCTTTCCTTCCCATCTCTCAGTCGATTCGAGTGACTGCCTTAGTGTCCTATGCACCTGAAAAGGCCAGGTGCGTACGTAGATCCTGCTGTAATTTACACACAGCGCCTTCTCCTCCCTCCTCCATCTTACCTAC